AAACATCTTAACCGTAAAGTTACTATGAGACTTTTTTTAGTCATCTTATTTTCATGATTGCTCTCATTCGAACGTGGTCTCGATTCATTTATATATAGTCTCAAGCTAAGTTCCCACCTAACCAACATGACCACCTCCGCTCTTTTTTTTTTTTTTTTAATTTAAAAAAGTGAAATAATAAATTATTTATGTGTTCTATGACAAAGATCTTTTTCGTTGACAATTTGGGAAGGCAAATGCTTATCCTTTTCTCTCCGCCGCCGCCGCCGCCGCCATTTTCCCATTCAAAAAACATGTGCTGAAATCCACCTGAAAAGAAATGGAAACCAATGAAATTTACACGTCAATACATGTTTTAATTATATATGTACCAAATTATTTATATCATTGACGGACTAAAAAATCCATTTATTTTATTAAAAAAACTCGATTTAAAATCTATCTGTAATAAAATTCTTAAAAAATTTCTACGAGTTCATCTTTGTAAGAGACATTCTCGAGTGATTTCGTGATGTCTCGAGCAACTTTGTTGAGAACTCCAAATTGACCGAATAATTGGGTTTGTGGTTATTCGATGAATTCATCTAAAAAGAAAACCGGACTAAGCAAGTTTTTGAGTTATTGAAAACTAAGAAAGCCTAATTTGAGGACTCGAGAAGGCTTCCTCACCACTCTCATGGAGGGTTGACACTTTCGACTTCTCGGCTTAAATTAGACCTACTTGAGTTGAAGAAGGCTTTGTTACTTATTGTCGACTTATTAAATACAAAATTAAAAGTTGTTATTATTATCGACCTTTTAAATACTTTTACGTTTAGATTCTTAACTATCGGACTCAAACATGAAAGTAATTTAACGATTAATCAATTTGTAATTTAACCTATAATTTTTTTATTTTTTTTATGTAGCGTAATTAAATTGAATAATTTTACGGGCACGGGGAACGAGTAATTATATGTAATAGAACACGTGATTTGTCACGTGTATATCATGGTTTATTTTGACCAAACCATAGGCGGTTTTGTTTGGCCATGTGGATAACATCCAAAAGTCTTCTCTCTCTCTCTCATATCTTTGTTTTTCCAAGTTTGACTTTCTCTCTCATTTGACCGACAAAAGACTATAAATTAACACCAAGATCCTCTCCTCTCCGACGGCCTCAATTTACAACTTCCCAACATCTCTCTCTCTCTCTCTCATGGCAGAATTAGATCAAGAACTTGATCCTCCTCCCTTCTTTCTTTGCCCCATCTCTCTCCAAATTATGAAAGACCCCGTCACGGTTGCTTCTGGCATAACCTACGACCGCGAAAGCATCGAGAGATGGTTGTTTTCAGATAGACATAAGACGTGTCCCATCACACAGGTCGTCTTGTCGAACTTCGACATCACTCCCAACCATACTCTAAGACGAGTCATTCAAGCTTGGTGTACTGTCAATGCTTGCAAGGGCGTCGAGAGGATTCCGACGCCTAAGCCACCGGTCGATTGTAAACAAGTGGTTCGAATTCTTGCAGATGCCAAGTTGTCTTCGTTCTCGCAACAGAATTGTCTCCGACGACTCCAATCTATTGCAGCGGCGAGTGAATCTAATAAACGTTGCATGGAAGCTGCTGGAGCTGTGGAGTTCTTGGCCGGAATTGTGTGTAATTCCACCAACGTGGAATTCAGCTTAGAAGGTATTATTTATACATATATAAATAATTATTAGATTTTTTTTTTTTAATATTAAGCTGATTAAAGTATTTAAAAAAAATAAAGGATTCGTTTTTAATTTTCAATATTGGGACGAAACAATTCAAGAAATTTAAAATTTCTTACAATTAATTTTAATTAATTTTTTTTTTAAATTTTGGATACTCTTCCATAATAGTTTTATAAGACATAAAATCTAATTTTATATATGATAAATTAGTTAATTTTTAAAATTTTAAAATATGACAATAATTTATTGAATAACAAAAACTGAAAGTTTAAAAAATTATTAAATTAATATAATATAACACTAAATTATAAGAAATATTTTAAATTTTGTCTGTGCTTCAAAAATACTTCTAGTTTCAAATTTGCAATGTTTATTTTTATATTTATATTTATATATAATTATTTGAATTTTCTTTTTTATTTTGAATATTAAGCTTATTAAAAAATTAATTTTTAAAATGTTAGGTCTTTTTTCAAAAATTGGATTTGTTTTTAATTTTAAAAAAAAACAAAAACTTTTTTTTTAATTTAACATTAAAAATTTAAAATTTCAGCAATTTTAAAAATTTCTTACACGCTATCTAATTAATTTTTTTATTTTAATAAGTAGATGGTTCAACATTTTTAAACCGAATTATTAAATTTTATGAGACATATTTATATTTAATAAATTAATTAATTTTTAAAATTTTTTAATATGTCAATAATTTATTAAATAAATAAATGAAAAGTTTAAAATCTATTAAATTAATATAATTTAAAACTAATTATAAGAAATATTTTAAATTTTGTGTGCGTTACATTTTTAATTTTAAAATTTGCAACGTTTTCTTTCGTTTTTTTTAGGGTTTCAAAAATTTCGAGTTTAAATAATTTAAAATTTTAAGCTAAAATTGAAATTTAAACGATTTACGAGTCTAAATCGTTTAGAATTTTGGATCAAAACGGAAATTTAAACGATTTAGGAGTGATTTCGAACGAAAACTTCAATTTCAATCCTAGAAGTCTTATTTTAAATTTGTAATTTGTGTAGTAAAAGTTGAGAATCTCTATTTGATGAACATTGTTGAGCAGATTACGCTTACTTGATTGACGACCAGTTGGCGAATTTGGGATTTGAGGCTTTGAGCATTCTTTACAAACTTCAAATCTCCGAATCCGGCCTGAAATTTCTACTCGCCAACAATGGCGGCATCTTCGTCTCAACCTTAACCAAAATCTTGCAAAACGGAACCTATGGCTCCCGAACATATTCAGTAATGCTTCTCACTTCAATGTTCGAAGTTGCAGATCAGATTCAGATCCTCAGCCTAAACACCGATTTCTTCGTCGAAATCGTCCAAATTCTGAAGGATCAGATCTCGAAACAGGCTTCGAAATCGGCATTGAAACTGCTAATCGGTCTTTGTTCGAGTTCCAGAAACAGAGTTAAGGCGGTCAAAGCCGGTGCGGTTCCGGTTCTGATCGATCTCCTCCTCGATCTCGATTCGTCAGAGAAGCGTTCGTGCGAGATGATTCTCGTGACGCTCGATCTACTCTGCGGCTGCGCCGACGGCAGGGCGGAGGTATTGAATCACGCGGCAGGGATCGCTATTGTGTCGAAGAAGATTCTGAGAGTTTCGACACTCGGAAGCGAAAAGGCCGTCGGAATCTTGTGCTCTATCGCGAGATTCTCGGCGAGTGAAAGCGTCGTCCAGGAAATGATGCGGCTCGGAGTTGTGACGAAGCTCTGTTTTCTGCTTCAGGTCGCCGGCGCCGGAGGCAAAGCGAAGGAGAAAGCGAAAGAGATTCTGAAGCTTCATGGTCGGACATGGCGGAATTCTTCATGTTTGCCTTCGAGTCTGCGATCTTCTTTTCCACATTAGGGTTTGTTTTTGCCCCCAAAACTTTCTTTATTTCAATTGATCGAAATTGGTTTATATATTAAAAAAATTTGTACATATTCTTTGTGTAAATCATTTGTTAATCATAATATAATTAATGTATTATTTATTTATGGGATTAATTAATAAAAATAATCCTAAATTTTATAAAATAGAGTTAAAATAATATTTTAAATTTTAAAAAAAATTAGAATAGGTAATATTTTATGACTTTATACATATTTTATTTTAATAATTAATCTTTTCGAAACTAAAGCCAGTGATTGAATCCATGTAACTAAGGATGATTTTATTTTTAAGAGAAAAAAAGACGATTTCAGAGCTTATACATATTTGGAGTTTCGGGAGTTTTGTATGTTTTCTTATGACGATGGAGGGTAAGTAAGTGTTAAAAAGAATGATAAGCTTTTATAAATTAAAGCATAAATATCTAATGAAAAAATACGTGGTCTCCAAAATTATAAATTTATTGAAGTGAAAAAATTAAGTCACGATCGACACTCAACATAGTTGTAGATGATTTTAACTTTAATTTCGAAATAAAAAAGCTCATAGCACTTTACCTTCGGGCGTAAAATCGTACATGAGAGTTCATAATTCTTCCCGAACTTAATAAATCAATATCCAATCTCATTTTATTTGCAAAACCTTTCTGTTCATCTTGTTTTAATATCTGGAAAGTAATTTGTCATGGCTTAGGTTGTTGTTGAGTCATGTCTCATACAATTCAAAACATTAGCCAAACTACAATACAATATAGATGGTACGAATAACCATTACTTTTCAACATAATTGTACGAAATATTTAAATTTGATGATTTTGACTTTAATTTCGAAATAAAAGAGTTCATAACACTTTACGCACATGCGTAAAATCATACACGAGAGTTCATATTTCTTCCCCAATTCAGTAAATTGATATTCGATCTCATTCTATTTACAAAACCTTCCTGGTTCTTCTCGTTTTAATATCTAAAAAGTAATTTATCATAGCTAGAGTCGTTGAGCCAAATCTCATACAGAGTTCCTACAGTTCCAAATCTCATACAAAGTTCCTAACAGTTCAAAACATTAGCCAAACTACAATATAGATGGTACAAGTAACCATTACTTTTCAACGTAGTTGTACGTAATGTTTAAATTCGATGATTTTGACTTTAATTTTGAAATAAAAGAGCTCATAGCACTATACGCACGGGCGTAAAATCATACACAAGAGTTCATATTTCTTCCCCAATTCAGTAAATCGATGTTCAATCTCATTCTATTTGCAAAACCTTCCTGGTTCATCTCATTTTAATATCCGAAAAGTAATTTGTCATAGCTGCTAGAGTCGTTGAGTCAAATCTCATACAGAGTTCCCAACCGTTCAAAACATTAGAAACCGAGGGATCAGCCATTACTCAACAAAAGTGCAGCCAAACTACAATATAGAATTGTACCTTTCCAATGAGAGCTACACAATAAATACACATAAAGCTAGTTGACTTCTTCAACTTACTATTTGCATCAGCTAAGACTAAGATTTTACAAAGAAACAAAAGGGGAGGCTAAGCCAGAAACCTCCACAAAATAATGCTTCTAACCCATGCTCTAGCAATTGTAGGTTAAAGGATGATAATTCATAATACAATTACAAAACCATTCAAGTTCAAGCCGAGGGCTGGAAGCTTGTACCTGTTGTGCCAGGGTTATCCCCCACCAAGGATAGCCTCCTTTTCGCCACTTTCGACCTGTAACACCACACTTCGAATGCCTCGGTTAGATCAGGATAACGGATAACGTGTTGATTCTGTAACCATTCGGTTATAATCTCTGCTTGCTCCCCTGATGGCAATGCAAGGATGATCGAAACAAATGCCGATTCTAGCAACTCCCAAACGTCACTGTCGATCTTGAGTTTCGGGTCATCAGCGCCATTGTTAGCAAGACTATCTATCAAGGATTTGGTTGTTCTTACGAAAGGAAGCCAAACCTTAACCATGTGAAGCCGTTTTGAAGTTGGGAGGATCACTGAGCCGTGTTTAATTGCCTCTAAAACCTTTGCTAACACTTCAACAATCCCTACCCTTGTGTCAATAATTTCTGATGCTACACTCGCTTGCTCAACAACCTTGACTATCTTATTCGATGCATCAATCCAATTAGAGACCAACTCCTTCATAGTTTCTAACCTTTTTAGAATACGGCACATCCAAGCTAAATCTGTCAAACAAAAAACTAAAACTTGCATGTTCCTTTCCTTCCCATCTGAGTGTACAGGATCAAGTACTATTTCTAAAAGACTGTTAAAAGTTTTTAATAGGCTCTTCACACATTCGTTTACCTCTAATTTTATTTCAGCATCAGCCATCAATAGTGGAGCATCATCATCTTCAACTAGCATGTACTCGAGCTGTTCCTGGGCCGAAGGCTTGAGATCGTTTATGTTAGAAAAGGGGGACAATGTAGCCACTCGAAGAGCCGAAAGAAATATCTGTCTAATGAGAGATGAATTGACTGGTTGAAGACGAGCAAGAATTGGCTCAACTTCTGATCCCATGTGAGGTATCACCTTCAAAATTTCCTCCTCTTCATCCTCCTCCCATGGTACCGCTTCCAAGTAATTCACGCAAGCACTAATAATGTTTTTGCACTCAAGATCAAAAGCCACACGGAGGATGCCAAGAACAGTTCGAACATCATTCCATAAGTCATCTGTTGGGATATCCGTAATGACGTAGAGAAGGCGCAGAAGATTTACGTGGTAATCAAAGGTTGATTCTAGACAGAAGACCTCGACACAGTTTCGTGAGTCAAGAATCTGACATGTTGGCCATTTCTCAGAAAGTCGATCAGCAAAATACTTGCTCTGTTCGGTTAGGATATGGGAGTGGCAATATAACCATTCATCTCGACCATCTTTTGTTCTAAGCCGCACAACAACGTCACTGGTCGATCGGTCACCAACCTGGCAGCATGATCCAGCTTTATTACTCTGCATGGGAGAGGAGTTATAGCAAGAGAATGTGCAATATTAGACTAAAAATTCTATCTTAGAAGCTAGACTACAATGAATCGTTTAAAGAAATGTGAATCAACACAGCTGCAGAAAAAGGGGAAGTTGAGTGGGGAAGGCAAGTATCATATGGCGTTCAATCATATAAATGAAGTGAAGAATTGAAGATAAAGAAATTGAGTATAACAATTAACTGCTGCGTATATACAACTTACAGAGTCGTCCATCAAAGCATTATATGCTAATGAGCATTCATTTTATGCATCCTTCAGTGTTTGGTTTAACAAGGGCCTACATTTAACAGAAAGACAAAAATTGCGGTCATTCAAAACACAAATTAAAAGACGTTCACAAAGTTGGAAAAGTTTTATTTTATACACAACACGATAGGAGCAATGAAAAAAAAAGAGAAACCATAGAACAAAAGCTCATATGATTTCTTTTACGGGAGGTGAGAATGCCTATGAATCTAATCAGTTCATGGCTAGAATCAGTTTTGTTGACGAAAATTGAAATTTCCATGGCAGAAAAAGGATCAGTAAATGTAGTAGGATAAAATTTAAAGCAAGGTAGCTTTGGTGCGTGCTGAAATATGTAAACAAAAATAATTGACAACAATCATTTTCCAGTACTTTTTCATTAAAAAAAACAAACCCTTTATTGATGTTTGAAAAGTTCTAAATTAAAGACTCCATTCCGTATGAATCTATAAGTCCCCAAAGCAATAAGAGCAGCATCTAAAGCTTAAACACGGTCTGAATAATAATTACAAGAAAACTCTCCAACAAGATATTATCTCATAAAATGAGCAATTGCAAAATCTTTGGAAAGAGCAGTCGAAGAAGCCACATGGAGCTTTATCACTAGATATTAGGTAACTAGACACTAACTTAAATAAGTATCTAGACACTCGGTAACAATAAATCTAAATTAATCCCTAGATTCTAGGTAACAAAATTTAAATAATAACAACTACTTCCCTCATTTAATGGGATTATACAAGTATCCTTTGACACTCCCCTCAAGTTGAGAATGAATTACACAAATATATCTCCTAACTTAAGGCTAATAATTTGACAATTCCTTTTAAACCAAATACCCAAATCCACGTATTTAACAATGTTGATTCATAAAAACTTTTTTCCTCTAGAAGTGCAAGGAGACACTAAAAAAAACGACTGAAACTGCCGTCGGTTCAGGTTTAGACAAGTTTTGTTTGGCAATTTCGGTTTATATAATAAAAACTGGTTATATTTAGTAGGGTTCAGGTTAGGCAAAGTCACACCGGTTACAAGCCAACCCCACCGACAATAACATATATATTAAGAATCGTAAGTTTGTCAATTAACAAGCCCGTAGGTCAACGTTAACACCTATTTGGTATGTGCAAGGTCTTGAGTTTAAGCCTAGTTCGGATGTCATAAATGCTTTTTTTTTTTTTTTTTTTTTGCATTATTAAACGTCTACACATAATCCAAGCCCCAAGCCCAAGCCCAACAACTCTAACAGGAAGCCTACTGACTAACTCCTAACGATCCAAGCAACGAAGTGAATCCCACACGCCAGGAATCAACAAAGCGACGAACAATCATACCAAACTGATAAACTTTCGGTTAATCGATTTGGGGCAGCTTGGTTATGCAACAAGGGTGGATTGGCTCAGTTTTTTCATCTTCTTTATATCTTTTTTGGCCCTCAAACTGAGCCAAACCAAACACCCTACACCCCTATTTTCCTCTCAACTCGTGATCACAAAGTAAATTGAAGATATTATTTTTAACCCTGAAATTACAAACCCAAGAGCGAGATCTGAAACAATGGGTTCAGGGGTTAGAACTTAGGGTCAAGGGTTTATGCTCTAAGTTTTTTTCTTCATCATAGTTAACCAAAGTGCAGAGCCCTACATTAAAGAAAAGCTGGCTGTATGCATCAGAAAAGAAAGCCCAACAGTCTAAAACCCTTAAAAGGAATGAATAAAAGAAAAATGAGTCCAACTTCTTCATGATTTCGTGCTACGGTAAAAAACAAAAGGGCCATCTCAAGAGAAGGAGAAAGAAGGACCTGCAACAAGAGAGACCACTGACCCTTTCTTGTTCCTAGCCGTCTGTTACGAACTTTCGACTTATGATCGTCATGAATTGTATTAGAATGCAATTTCAGCCAAAAAAAAGAACTGTGAAAAAGATCTCAAAAGAAAGAAGAGTATTCCTGTCTCTGATTCTTCCTTCACAAGGTAAAAGCAAAATCGAAAGGTAAGACGAAGAAATGAGGTATACTTCACTAGTGTATACGAGGGGATTATAGAAGGAAGGATAAATATAGAGGTAATGAAAAAAAGATAAGCAACAGGCTTGAAGGCCAAAAAGGACTTTATCGCTCACCTAAGTTGGATAAATATTGATAAAACCTAGCTTGGCCTGCAAATCATAAAAAACAATCCTTGGCAGAGCTTTAGTGAAGATATCTACAACCTATGTCTTTGTGGGCATGTAGGTGAGAGAAATGAAATTTACTTCAACCTAACCTTCATCCGAATGATCTATCCCAACATATTTTCAATTAGTCATGATGTTGGGATAGTTATCTATCTTAATGATAGCTTGGTTATCACAAAACTCACCATAGGTTCCTTTTGACTTATTTTTAATTCAGTGTTATCTATACCAATCACAAGTTCCATTAGTCACAACTCTAAATTCATCGTCTACACTACTTGTGGATATCATTGCCTGTTTCTTGCTTCTCCAAGTTACTAGGTTGCCCCTAACATATGTGAAGTACCAAGGATGGAAGAACCAAGATTTTGTCAGCCCTACATGGGAAAATTGATGGGGCCAGAGTTTTCCATAGAGGGGACTCATGCATTTTGATGTTAGAGGTCACGAGAAATTTGAAGGAGCAGTAAGATTGATTCAATGCAACCCACGACTTCATTACTGAATCGGAGGCCCATCAACCAGGGATCAAGTTTGAGAAAGATCCATGATAATGCAAGTTCTGAACTTGAATGCCCTTATCACCATTGTTGGAATGACAAAAAAGGTGAACGGCCAGTTAGGAGCCTAGAATGGAGCTACTATCTATGTTATAATATAGAGGCTCATCAACATCAACAAGGGATCAAGTTTGAGAAAGATCCATGATAATACAAATTCTGAACTCGAATGCCCTTATCATCATTGTTGGAATGACAAAAAAGGTGAACGGCCAGTTAGGAGCCTAGAATGGATCTACTAACTTTGTTATAATATAAATGGATGTCTTCCATGTGGCTTCAGGAACTGAACATTCACAAAATATCATAATCTACAACCCCACTCTTTAAGGGACATCAGGCTTGCATGTGGATAGAATAGGTTGCATGTAAACATAGATAAATGTTCCTTCACTCAAAAGCACATTAACTTCCTTAGTCAACCCACCAACAAGACAAGATTCTAGAATGGCCCCTTCAAAGTTGGCCTCATGGAGAAAATAGCAAACAAGCTCTTTGCAGAAGGGTCTGTGGTCGAGCAATTAAAGAAACAAACATGCTGCACATTGTTAAATGGGCATGGAGGTCCTCTTTGGAAGATCATAGTCTACAACAAAAGGTTAAATGTGTGCAAATGCATGTAACGATCGTGAAAAAAGAAAAAAATCTATCTAAGCCGCATGCAGCCCTAGGGAGCTGTGGCTTCACTCTCTTTATTCAAGCTTGGTGGCATCACTCGTCTAGCTCCCTAGCTCTCTCTTCTCTCTGCCCAATCTCCCTCTCTTGGATCCCTCTTGCCTGCCTTCTTTTTCTTATTTCCCTCGCTCTCCATTGCTTCTCTTCAAATCAGCATTGTGCTCCTCTTCTATTTGATCGACATCGTACCCCAGCTTCCGCCCTCGCCATAGCAAAACGAGTGATCAGCATGGTTTCACAATCGTCAACATGGGTTCCTAGAGATTTTTGCACAATCGTCAACATGGGTTCCTAGAGATTTTTGGTGCAGGTTGTTTTGCTTTGTGCAATCAGTTAGGCAAAGGAGATTTCCTCATTGTGCGATCAATTGGTGTCCAGTCTCTTCTTCATGGACTGGTTCCTGTCTTCTTCTTCATCCAACCAGCGACCATTCCAATGAGTGTTGGTCAAGGGTTGTGGGTTCAGCGACTAGTGCAGGTGAGATCATTGATTTTGTTTTGATTGGTGGTGTTTTTTTTTGGTGTTTGAGCATAACCCACACATTTCTTAGGTTCTGTTGTAGGATACCCATAGAGTTTGGGCATATGGTCAGCGTTCGTGGGTCTATAAAGACGAACCAACAAGGTTTGAGCTCTTTCAAGGTGAGGAATCTTTTAGGCGACTCTTTGGTCACTGTTGGGTAAGCTAGGTGTCCTAGAGAGTTTGATTTTTCAATTTGGGTGTTTAGGTGCTTAATTGTTATTGAAATTTGTTCAGCACGGGCAAGGACATTTTTAGGAGAAGTTAGTTTTACTTGAAACTCCCTTTAAGATAAGTAGCCTGATTGGATCAACTCCTTGAAATCTTAGTTAAGAAGTACATGGAATTTGAAATGCATGTTTGATTGGATGATATGTGTTTCTCTTAAGTATTAAGTATGTGATCTAGCATGATGGTTATTGGATGTTCTATTAAGAACGCTGTGATTTTCTTAAGTATGAGGTTTGCTTAATTATGTTATCAGGCATAGTGTGCAGAGGGGTTCTGATTACAGAATGAAGTAGTGATGACTGTTATGATTTCTAGCATGTTTGAAGAGCCCCAGTTAAATGTATGTTATTCCCAATTTTATGAGATTATTAGTGACATTTACCTTCCCCTACTTGTTACGTATGTTTCCATGTATGTTTTCATGAGGTACTATGCTCGGATGGGATAGACCTAGTTTTGCTTGAAAGTCGCCAACTAACCTATAGTAGTGCTTGGTCTTACAAGAATTACCCACTTGGGCACCATAATTGGTGATCATGAATCTTTTTCATGAGGTTCTGTGTTGGGTTAGGCCTTGCATCACTAGAGACTTGCCAATTAACCTCGAGTGGTGCTTTGTCTTACAGGATTGACCCACACAGGCACCATAATTGTATTGTTTGGGAATCTATAAATTGTTCACGAGATAGAACGTTACCATATTTTTTAGTTAAGGCCCTTATCTAATTGAACGACTTTGTGTTGCACAATCAGACCCCGCATGTATTCAATATTATGATTTTTAATATGAGTGCAACTTCAAACTCTCAAGTGGAAAGTGGAGCTACTTAATAAGTGTATTTTTATACTCACTTACACCACTTTCTTTTCTTTTTTTGAAGGTACTTGAACTTGCGTTAAATCTAGCGAGGCTATGGAGATGGTGATGGGCCATGGTCTTGCTTAAGGTCTTAGGAGCTTTTGGTTTTTTATTTCTACTCATTTCTTTTACAAACATTATTGTTATTTGATTATTCTTTGCAAACTTGATTTGAAGATAAATGATTGATTTACCCTCGAGTTGATTTATTGTTTTAATGGGATTCCAAACTATTAAATATCATCAAGTTTTGATCCGGTAATTATGTTTTAAATGCTCTCTATGCTTTACTTGAGCTTCCACTTGTTTTCAAAACTTCATGTCTTGCATGTGTAGCGACCCTTTATTGTCCAGTTTAATAAGTCGGGTTGTTACAAAATATCAAGACTTTGAAGGGTTGGCTCACTCTCAGTTAGACTTGGAAAAGTAAAGTTGGACCTGGAAGTGTAAAATGTATCCTTGGGCCCTTGTTTCTAGATGCTAGGAACAAATCAAGAAGCTTCATGCTTTGAAATTGATTCAGGATACCAATATTAGCTTCTAGAAAACATCAAAGCAGATCCTCAACCTTATCTACTAAATTTCTAATTTCCTCAATTCTACCAACCACTTGCAACATTTAAATGAATACTTGAAGGCTAATTGTTGGAATGAAGAGGTTGGCTCTTGGAATTTTCACCAAGGAAACAGATGATAGTGACGAAGTTTCTTAATGAACTTGTTATCTTATTCTGGGTAGTTGGATTGGATGCCCAATTTGCAGGAAGATAGGATATGAAATTTTGAAATATCAGGTTTTTTCAACTAAATCAATGATCTCCCACATCAGCAATTTTCAGAGGATGGTTGTGACTTGTGAGGATATCATATTGGAAATTCGAGGTGACTGATAAGACAACTCCTAGAATTGTCAAGTTTATAATGCAGTCAGTGCTTCTTAATCAAGATATTGTCAAAAAGAAGAATCTGCACTTCTATTTGCTAATAAATTGGTGCTACCTTTCAAACAATAGTGGAGAAGAGTTAGATCATCTCTTCCTCAGGTGCAAGGCAACTTAAAGGTGCTGGTTGAAACTAATCAAGGAAAGTTAAATCGTCTCTGTTTAAGGACTAGAATGAAAATTTAAATCTGCAATGGTAGAGGTGCAGAAGTAGATTCTACATCTATCAACGTCTTATTTTCTTACATTTAGCGAATTATCCAATTCTAGAATCCAACATCCACGAACCAAAAAGACCAAGGGAGTGGAGATCAGCACAACAGCTAATAACGCGGCAAAAAAAGAAACAAAAACAACAAGAAGACGCCACAAAATAAAAAAACTTCAAGAAACAAATCTGTGAGCAATTTCCATAAACATAATAAGTACATCGACCAGGCCAAAAGATGCAGAATACTCTCACATCAATGCACAATTTCACAGCAGAACAAAATTCAAGCACAATTGACAACATAATCGAGTTAACAAGTACTAAACGAAACGAAGAGGAATAAAACTCCTACATCAAGCTTCGATCACAGAGCAATGGCTTCAGAAAACAAATGAAAGCCACAGAAAACGAAGAACAGTGAAACAACTGAAGTTGGATCTAACGATAGAGAAGAGAGAAGGAATTGAAATCGAGTTTACCATTGGCGAGAAGCAAGCATAGAAGTTGACGGAAAGGGGAAGAGAGCTCCGATTTAGAGTCGAAACAACGGGACAGAACTAGACGGCTCCCTCAGCGCTCAGTCTCTCAGCTTTCTCCGAGTTGTGGGCCACGCCGGTGACGTGGTTCTCAATGGGAAGGAGCTTTGCATTTTCTGTAAATTTCGATTTTTTTTTAAATTAATTAAAAATATATATCATTTTATATTAAATATTTTTCAATAAAAATTTTTCAAAAAATTATTCCACTTGATAGATTATCTCCGAACTTTTTAAATTTTTTTCTAGAATGGTAAAAAATTAATATTAATTTTAAAAATTCATAGGTAATTTTTGAAATATTAAGAAAATGGTCTGTAAAATATCATGACGAGCATAAATATTATAAGGTATGCATCCATACTATTCATAACTAGGAAATATCTTTAATGCACACTACATACATAACATGAGGTCCCTGTGTAACAACCGTTAAAAACAATAAAATAAAGTAAAAATAAGTTAATTAATTAACTAATTAAAAAAAATAAAGAAAAAAAATCATTCCCATTTTCTTAAGATAACTCTCGATAATTCTGACCACAGAAAATGAGATTTTTAATAAAAATAATATATATGTATATAAACCTTCTAAGATGGTAAAGTTCTAATATCTATATGAAGTCTAACACAGTAAAGGAGAGAAATAATTTTGTAGAAGTTCAAACTTGAAACTAATGTCACGAGCTTATATAGATTGACTTGGATTTTAAAGGACAGAATCAAACTTTCATTAACGATAAATTAGTGACGCCAGCCTAACCTAATCAAGTAGGTGACTGTTGAAGTTAGATAATTGAATGATGTATGATGGTGCATGTCCTGTGGCCCCTGCACGCACCATACTATTGTATGCTATATTTATGTGTTTTATGTTATGATATATGACGATATACTGTGTATGCATGAGATATCTATTACATTATATTGGGAAGGAAATTGAATATTATGTATGTCATGTCATGTCTTACCGTGTAAATTTATGCGATGATCATTGTGTATACATGATGCATATATGTATTATGTCATGGATGAAAGGAAAAATAAAATGATGTTAATGTTATGCTAGGAATGAAAATCACGGGGACCTCATGCATGTGTGTGTGTTATGTGCACTGTTATATTATGTTAGTACAGGTGCGTACCTTTGATATTTACGTTACCCGTGATATCATGCGGATCTTTCCTTTTCTGCGGCGACCTGTGATGCATTAATGCATTGTGCTCGACCAAGTAAGACTCATGGGTATGTATACGAGCCCATTTGGTGGGTCCATGTGTACGTACGTGGACCGTGTGTGGAGAAATACCACACATCCTGCCTGGAATTAGAAAGGGCCCAAGGTCATGTTACAATGTTAAAGGATAGGTCCCATCATTAAATGTGTGTGATTGACTCAACAGTGGGCTGACTTACTGAGTGTTACGCTCATGTTATGGTCTTAAAGGATAATTGAGGTCACGTGTTATAGGGACGCTACATCCCCACAACTTAAAATCATGGCATAAGTGTATGATGGAAGTCGTACATTCATTCATTAATGACATAACGAGCATATGATTCATGCATACGTAATGCGTGTCACATCTTTCAAAATTAACGTATGTGGCTTCCTCATGTTTCATAGGCATGAAGTGAACGTGTTAACATAGTTTCACAAGCATATTATAGTACAACATATAACATGCCATAACATGACATTAAATAATTTATAAAATAGCGTAACATCACATAACACATGTCAACAATCATAATCATGACATGTATAGGGGTCACAAAGTACGCATCATTATATATTATACAAATCTAACAAGGAAGCTGTTAACTTCTCTTCTCTAATGTCCCACATTGGTTGGAGAGGAGAACAAAACATATTTTATAAGAGCGTGAAATCCTTCCCCTAGCATACATGTTTTAAAGCCTTAAGGGGAAGCCCAAGGAGGACAATATCGGCTCCTAGTGGACCTAGGCCATTACAAATGGTGTCAGAGCTAGGCACAAGATGATATGTCAGCCTTCTCGCTGTTCCCCGAAGGGAGTAGACACGAGGCGGTGTGCCAGTAAGGACGTTGGGTCCCAAAGAGGGTGGATTGTGATGTCTCACATTGGTTGGGGAGGAGAACAAAACACCCTTTATAAGAGCGTGGAAACCTTCCCCTAGCATACGCATTTTAAAGCCTTGAGGGGAAGCCCGAAAGGGAAAGCCCAAAGAGGACAATATCTGCTAGCGGTGAACCTGGGCCGTTACAAATGATATCAGAGCTAGACACCGGACGATGTGTCAGCCTTCTCGCTGTTCCCCGAAAGGGGTAGACACGAGGCGGTGTGCCAATAAGGACATTGGGCCCCAAAAGGGATTAGATTATAATGTCTCACACTGGTTGGGGAGGAGAACAAAACACCCTTTATAAGAGTGTGGAAACATTCCCCTAACAGACGCGTTTTAAAGTCTTGAAGGGAAAGCCCGAAAGGAAAAGCCCAAAGAAGACAATATTTGCTAGCGGTGAACCTGGGCTGTTACAAATGGTATTAGAACTAGACACCGGACGATGTGTCAGCCTTCTCGGGAAAGCCCAAAGAAGACAATATTTGTTAGCGGTGAACTTGGGCCGTTACAAATGGTATTAGAACTAGACACCAGGCGATGTGTCAGCCTTCTCGCTGTTCTCCGAAGGAAGTAGACACGAGGCGATGTGCCAATAAGGACGTTGAGGCTCAAAGGGGTGGATTGTGATATCTCACATTGGTTAGGGAGGAGAACTAAACACCCTTTATAAGAACGTGGAAACATTCCCTTAGCAGACGCGTTTTAAAGCTTTGAAGGGAAGCCCGAAAAGGAAAGCCCAAAAAGGACAATATCTGCTAGTGGTGGACCTGGGGCGTTACAAATGGTATCAGAGCTAGACACCGAACAATGTGTCAGCCTTCTCGCTGTTCCCCGAAGGGGGTAGACACAAGGCGGTGTGCCAGTAAGGACGTTGGGCCCTAAAGGGGGTGGATTGTGATGTCTTACTTTGGGTGTGGAGGAAAACAAAACACCCTTTATAAGAACGTGAAAACCTTCCCCTAACAGACGTGTTTTAAAGCCTTGAGGGGAAGCCCATGGACCTAGGCCGTCACCGTTACATCTTCTCTACGCATGTTGTTGGTAAGTAACATTAAACTCCTTTTAAGTCCACAATGCATTAAGCCCTATGTTTAGGTCCATAGACTACGTTGCCAGTAACAGCGAGCACCGCAAACCTTATTCATTTTTTATTAATACCTTTAACTCTTTTAAAAATTCAAAAATACCCTTACGGTATTATCGGGCTTAAAAAATATCCATAATATATTTTAAAAATAAATTGGAAATTTGACAATAATTTTGATTAATTTAGCATTTTTTTTATTTATTTTAATAGGGTGGAGTTAATTTGGAACAATGAACGAACTTATTTTAGAAGAAAAAAAGGGGAAAAGCAGTTCGAGTGAATGAACACACCCGCTTAGATAAAATGCGTTAAATTTCAATTCTTCCATCTTCCTGGCATTTGCAGTTGCTTCAAGAACTCTCTGGACTTGCTTTTCAACCAAGTCGCGGGAATTTCCAACGAAGAGGATGAGATCCAACATCGTCACCGAGGTAAACTTTTGATTAGCGTTTTTCTTTTTCTAAGCTTCAATTTGGCTTGATTTTGTCCAGAGCTTTGAATTTCCGTCTAGGAATTCGAGCTTGTGAAAGAAAATCGTCCAAGTCTGTTTCGTTGCTGTGAAGTGGGAGGAAAATAAGTGTTCTGGGGTTCTGGAAAGTTATTTTTGTGTATAATTGATTGTTTTTCTTTGAATTTGAGCGTAAATAACAGTGAAGTTCTTCAAAAATTGAGTTAATTAAGTTTCTGCAATGCTGTCGTAGTTTGATTTGTTGTCTGGATGCACTCCCTAAACTGCCGATGTAAAGAAATGATTAGATTCCTTAAGAGATCTACCTCCAAAGGTGTTTTCTTCTAGTTTTCAGGTAGCTAGCTCGTAGCTTTAATCCTTATTTCATCTTACTCGGCTGCATACACGTAATGTGAGAGAACAATTGTAGATAACTGATGCCAATGTCAAGCAGCTGAATTACAGCTATCTCAGCTGACAAATGCTGAAGAAACTTCAAGTAATAATTAGGACTAAGTCAAAATCTTGATTTAGTTTCCTCCTTCTCAAAGTGAAACTTTGCCCTAATGGGTGAAATTTGAAAACGGCCCGACCACCCTGTTTATGTTCTTTCCATGCTGCTTCTAATGGATAAGGCAATTTCCTTTCCATTTCTTTTTTCCTGCCGTCCAATGGATCTTTATGGAGTAGGGAGAAGCTCCACTTCCATTTGTTCTGGTTGTGGAAATTGTGCCTGGAGAGTAGCATTATTGCCAGTTTTACTATTTAGTAAACAATAATACATATGGAATGGGAGGATGAATACGAGAATTATGAGGCAGTTGAAAGATGCCTATTTTTTCCACCGTCGCTGTAGTTTCAAATCCTTCTGGTGAGTCTATAGTGTTGCAACCTCAAATTAACCCAATCTCTCCTGCTGCTAATTTTTTGTTTCTTTTGGTTCCTTGAATTGTGTAGCTAGCTGACCCATAACCTTAAGCATGGTCCTATTGAATTATCTACATTCATGATAATAGTGAGAAAACAAATTTAAATAACTAATGCCAGTGGTAAACAGCTAGTTTATACTGCGGATAGCTGAATTATAATTATACAAGTTGGAAAATTAGACTTGAAAATCAATTAAATAGACTTCTAATGATAATTAAAGCTAAGTTATAAGCTTGATACTAGCATCATTATGTTTTTCCTAGTATAGAAAAGAGAAAATAAAGAAGACGGTCTCACTTTTGGTTTTGGTGGCTGATAGGCAGGATTGCCAACAAGGGTGGGGCAATGGTGGGAAGGCATTCCATTCCTTACTTCAGCTATTATGATTATCTGTGGAACCATTTACTTGGTGTGTCTCTTGGTTGGATATGACTCATTTGTCGAAATATGTTTCTTACCTGTGGCAATCCTATCGCAGTTTCAAGGTATATTTCTCCT